TCCCTAGATTTTAACTAGATCAACTCTTTGTGTCCTTTAGGCCTTTGCTTCAGATCTGACCTTCTCAAAGAGACTTTCCCTTACAAGGAAGAACTCACTCCTTGATCAAAGTTATTCAGGTTCCCCTGAGCTCACTTCTAAATTGTCTCAAGTTTAGTTCCTGTTATGATAACTATTTTACAACATTATAATTCTTGTTGAATGTAAAAACTTAAATAATTATGCCTTTAAAGTATTAACTCCATTTTGAATGCTATGGCAATCTAATGTCATTTTGAGTTTATAATTTTGCTGTGTCATATTTGTTTAAAATGTATTGTAACTGAGACAAATAAACTGATAATCATGTTGTATCTGGTGGGTTCCAGGATCCTTCCCTTCACAAGAGACATCTGGAAGCTGTCATTCCATTCTGTGCTAGTATCCTCTCAGACAACAGCATTCAGAAGCTTTGTCATAAGAGTGGCAAACCCTTGGCCTCATCACTGGCAACCTGATGCCATTCTGGACCTGTTTGAGTGCCTCTTTAAAGAGTTAGATCTTCTGAGCTGAGTGGAAAATTCTTTTCATAGACACACAGAGTTTGGTTCATTATTAGCACAAGTATTTGTATACTCTCTTTTCTTCCTTTTACTTCTCTTTTATGCATGTGAATATATATTTGTCTATTTTCTGCTTGTGTGTGTTCTGTAATAAATCTATTCATTGGAGAATATTTTTTTCTACTTGATTTGTTACAAAACAAACAAACAAACAAACAAACAAAAAGCCTTCCCTGTCTCACAGAGAGGTTAATATTTGTCGCCAGGTATTGGGAACCGCCTTTGCCAGTCCAACTGGGACAACCCCTGCCCTATTATTAGCCTGCCTAGCCCAGTTTTAGCAGGAACTCTGTTGAGTAAGTTTAGTGAGAGTCCTCCTCACCTTGATATTTGGTCATCCACAATATCTGTCTTTAATGTCAAAGTTAATGACTTGTCTTTAGAAAGAATCCTATGAGGTCATTTTTATAAGAATCCCCCTACTACTGATGTCTACTCTTAGTAATCTTCTATCCTCTGATCCCTTCACACTGCTTATTGGCTATTAGTCCCCAGCTACCTTTGCTATATGTAGAGTAACACGTACCAATCTCTGTCCCTTACTGTAATAACCCTATTGTAATAATCTTGAATAAAGTCTTTACCATTTTAATAAGTATCAGAATTTTTTTTTACTTTAATCTACCTGATAATGAAATGAATAGATGACTAGAAATCACCACAGGGGCACAAGAAATATGTGAAAAAAAAAAAAACCCTCATCCCCAAGGGAAAAGAATAACTCCTCTTCATCCACAGACAGTACAATGGAATTCATGGAAATGTCTGGTAAAGAATTTAGAGTATTCATAGTGAAAAAACTAACAGAGATAGAAGAGAAGAGAGACAATGAACACCAGAAGAAAAAAGCCAATGAGTTCCAGGAGGTGAGGAAGTTCATGCCAGAGCTGAACTTAACACCATAAAAAAAGAAACAAATGAAACTGTTGGAGATGAAGGCTATAGTACAGGAAGTCAAAACCTCCTTTGAAAGTATTAAAAGCAGACTAGATCATACAGAAAATCAAATCTCAGATGTAGAAGGCAGAACTGCTGGACTAGTAAAATTCACCACAAAAACAGAAAATAGCCCAGAAAAATGAGAATAATATACAAAGAATACCAGATATCATTAAACGCCCAGGCATCCAGATAATTAGTATCCCAGAAGGTGAAGATACTAATAAGGGCATTGATAATCTATTTCATGAAATCCTACAAGAAAACTTTCCAAACCTAGAGAGGCATTTGAAGATCCAGACCCAAGAAATACAAAGGATCCCAAATAGGATCCTCAAAGACACATTATAGCCAGAATGACCAAAACCACAGACAAAGACAAGATACTCAGACTGGCAAGAGAGAAATTTCTAGTTACCTCCAAAGGATATCCCATCAGGCTAACAGAACCTCTTATTGGAAACAATGTGAGCAAGGAAAGAATAGGAAAATATATTCAAAGTGTTGAGTAAAAAACAATTTGAACCAAGAACACTGTATCTGACAAAATTATCCTTCATATGGGAAGAAAAAACAAGAACATTCTTAGATAAACAAAATCTGAAAGAATTACCAACACCAGACCAGCTCTCCAAGAAGTTCTGAAGGGAGTGCTATCTCAGGAAAACTAAAGTCAGTCACATAGTAAATAAGAATTCTAAAACAACTAAGAAAATGGCCAGTTTAACGGTAGGGACAAGTCCATAGTTGAAAGTTACCTTCTAAAATTTAAACAGAAAGATCAGACCACAGCAAAAGATAAAGTACTTGAGTTTGAATTGGTGAAATAGAATTTAATGACTTTTGACTAAAACATTACTGACCTTCTATGCTTTGTTTTCCAGTGTTAAGGAGTTTTGTCTTCTCTCAAATTGTGGACAGGTCCATGTTCCTACTATTCAAACAGAATCCTAATCTGTTTCCTGGTTTAGAGTCTTAAGCAAAGTTCTCTTAACATTTTTAAATTTTGATTTATTAAAGCTAAAACTGTCTTTCTTTAAATTAAAAAAATGTTATTTAAAAAATACCTATTTAGTAACCACAGTAAGCTATATAGCTTCAACTATGTGTTATTTTATAGTATATTCATTCTACCCACAGAGTTTCATGTCTAAAGTCAGAGTTTATTCATAGATATGTATATATCAGCTGAACTCACTATTGAAAGTATTTATATTAAGATATTTTGTGAATCAATACAATGTGGGAAAGAATAAAGGAATGGAAAGCAACTGCATATACCAGAGACAGGATAGGAGGAGAATGGGAAATGGCAGAGGTGAGAAATAGGGGGAAAATATTTCTATATACAAGAAACAAGAATGGAAAATTATTTGTTGACAATAGCATGTATGATTAATCCACTTTGCAGTGTACTCTGGCTGGAAAATCACATTTTGTATGCTGTGGTGATGTTCTGTGAAAGTATGTAAAATAAATAAATAAAATATGTATTATAAAAAATTTTAAATTATATCTAACTTATGTTAGAAAATGAGCTTTAAAAAAATAGAAAGTATAGAAACAGTACCTGAGTAACTACATGAAAAGCCAAAGAGCAGCCAAAAGAAGTAACTACTTATCCACAAAAAGCTCACTTGTACCCAATTTACCTCTTCCTTTCTCATAATGATGATGATTAAAGAACTTACATTTAAATTCACAGCTGATAAGTGAGTGCAGTTAGTTTTGCTCAGCAAAAGAACTATGAATTACTCTACTGTGCATTTTGGACTTTTTTTTAACTCAGTAATTTGATGGATCATCTTAGGTATGAAAAGTAAACTACTAAGTCATAGTTTCTAAGGAAATAGTAAAACAATGAGATCAACAAACTATTAAACAATAATGAGAGAAGGATCATTTAAGACTTTCAGAGAAAGAATGGCAAGGAGAGAAGAAGAAGAGAAATAGCTGAGAAACCATGTTGACTGAATTCTTAAGAGAAATGCTACTGTTACAAAATAAATGTTTAGTACTCCCAAAATTCATATGTTGAATTCTAATTCCCAATGTGATGGTGCTTAGAGACTTGGCCTCTGGGATGTGATTAAGTATGAGATTAGTGTCCTTATAAAAGAGACCCCAGAGAACTTCCTTATTCTGTCATTTGCAGACATAGCAGAAAATATGGCCATCCACGAACCAGGAAGTAGACCATCTCCAAACACCAAATCTATTAGCATCCTGATCTTGGACTTTCAGCATCAAGAACTGTGAGTAGCAAATTTCTGTGTTTCTTAGCCACTCTGTCTCTGATGTTTCATTATAGCAATATGAATGAACCAAACACTCACTCAATTAGAAATACCTAGTAACAATGGAAACTCATAATTTTAAGCTGTTGGAGATAAATGTTCTGTTGTGCCATGCCTTCACAGAGCCTCAGATTCATAGTATCTAAGGCATGAAGTCATTGGAAGTAATTTTACAGAAGGTGACATCATGACCAAAAAAAGGACAACATACATAGACCATTTTGGTGAGAAAATCTACACATGGAACTAAGAATCAAGAACATCAAATCAATCACAGTTGAGATATAACCTGAACTAATTCATCTATCATCTACAACATTTCAGTCTCAAGAAAACAGGGTAACCTTAGTGGGCATCTATTCAATAATGATATGAAATAAAAAATAAAGAGTGCATTTGTTTTTAAATGGGACTGAAGGATGTAAAGGAAACTGAACTTAGGCATGTAGATGGTAAACAATCTTGGAATGTGCACTTTGGATACATTCCTCCTCTGGCATTGAATCTCTGAAAAAAAAAAAAAAGTACCTAAAATAACGTTATAAATGCCACCAATCTATTCATTAAATTTGTTACATTATGTACATCCTATTGCCCAAATAATTTACTCCCTTACTCTTAATTAGTAATTATTAAACCAGATTACTGACTTGCATGCTGACTCCAAATGACTATTAGGTCATTTACCATAGTATTTAGCCAATCACTTCTGTACAGGATTTATGCTATAACCTTGATCAATGTATAGTTTTGACTAATTGTGTTAGTTTGCTATTGTGTTGCTAATAGAAATAATTGAAGCTGAGTGATATATTTAAAAAATAAAGGTTTACTGGATTCATGATTCTAGTGATTTGAGAATCCAAAGGCATAGGGCTGGTATCTCACTGGACTATTTGACAACATGGCCAACAGGAACAAAGAATGTGGGCATGTACACAAATAGAGATCTGGGAGCAGCCATCTTCTTATATAACAATCCACTACTATGATAACTAACCCTTTCTTATAAGAGATAGAATTCACTTGGTCTCTTATTAATCTATTTATGAGGGCAGGGCCTCCATGATGCAATTACTGCCTCATAACGTCTTGCCTCTTAAAGATCTCACCACCTCCCAGTATCACTATACTGGGGGCAAAATTCCAAAATTCCTCCTTTGGAGGACAAGCCAATATCTAAACCATAACACTAACAATTATGTGATCTCCCTCTTTATTTGCAACTTTTACCTTTAAAATGACTTTGAACTTTGTAAGAAGATGACACACATTATTCAGGGTAACTTGAATTTTGTAGTGCCCAAGTGATTGTTCTAATCCTGCAATACAAAAACTCTAGACTATGAACATGCAAATTAATTATATGGGAGGAACAACTTTCCTCTCCAATCCAGATTTTATTAAATGTGCAAAAAATTTTATTATTTCCAACCTATAAATCTTTTCATTTTAATATCTCCTTTGAGCTACCTATAACATCCACCTGATTCCCTCATTGATAATTATTTAAGTAAAATCTTTAACATATATTAATTTTATATCATTATGAAAAGTTATTTCATTTTTTAAATTGTCTTTCTAACAGAAATGCTTATTAGGAGCCAAGCATTATACTTCTTCTTTTACATGGAGTACCTCATATGATCTTCCCAACAACTGGACACTTAGGTTCTATTATCTCCATTTTATAGATCAAAGTCAACAAATGACAGTTCAGTAGACCAAATCGGACCTGCATTCTTCTCTTCAAGAGGGTAGAGCAAAAAGGAACCATCTTAGAGGCAGAGAGCAACCCTCAGCAAGCACTAAATCTGCTTTATCTATGACTTCCCAACTTCTAGAAACATGAGAAATACATTCTTGTAATTTGTAAAATCTACAGAACTTTGTTGTAGCAGCACAAACTAAGACATAAATTGATACTAGAAAAGTGAGTTGCTGCTGTAAGAAAAACACCTGGAATCAGTTTCAGAAGTACATAATGACTAAGATGGAAAGAGTTTTAGGGTACTAGAAAAATCCTAGACTGCTGTGAATGAAGTGATAAGGATGATTTTGCTAAGGGTTCAGAAGAGGTGATTTGTAAACAGACGCTTAAATTCTTACAGATTATTTAAGTGACTATAATTAAAATGTTAGTATAATATGGACAATATAGGGTACTGTGATAAGGCCTACAGGAATTAGTAATATTTCACTGAAAAATGGAATGAAGGCCATACTTGTTATAAAGTGGTAAAGAAGTTGACTGATCGTGTCCATCACCCAGTACTTCATGAAAGATAAAATTGAAGGGTGATGAACTAGGATATTTGGCAGAAGAAAATATCTAAGCAAAGTACTTAGGGTAGTAGAGTCGTCTCTTGATTGCTTATAGTGTAATGTGAGAGCAAAATAAACTAAAGATAGAATTTATAATCAAAGGAAAGCAGAACTTAAAGATGTGTAAAATCTGCAGTTCTGTAAAGGGGAAAAAAAGCACTTTTCAAAGAGAATACAAAGAGGTGACAGGTAAGATTAGTATGGACAGAACAAAGCCAGATGCTATTTATCAAAACAATGGGAGAATGTCTCCAAAGCATTTTCAGAGCTCTTTGAGGCTGCCACTTCCATCAAGAGTCAAACCCTGAAGGCAGAACAGTTTCATGGGAGGAGTCTAAGACTCAGCAAACCTTGGAGCTCACTGCTTCATGCTGCCTCAAATCTCAGTCCCTCACATTTTGGCAAAGCACTCATTGGCCACCCCAATTGTACCTCAATGGGGCCCAGGAAGAGCTTGAGCCACTGCTAAAGAAGACACAGGCAGAAAACCTTACTGCCATCTACCTGTGCCAACTGCTAGCATGCAGGGTGCAAGAGTTGTGTGGGATCCCTCCACCTAGATTTCAAAGGATGCCTCAAAAATTCCCAGAGCTCAGGCAGAGAAGTGCCATGGGGTAGGACCACCATAGAGGATTCCCCACTAGAGCAATGACAAGTGGAACTGTCAAGTTTTTGCTGCCAAAGATAGTTCCCATTAGGGCACTATTTAGTGGAGCCATGGGAGTAGGGCTGCTCCTAAGATTACATAACTAATAGAGCCAGCAATGTGTGAAATCAGTCTGGAAAATCTGATGTACCTGATTACAGCCTATAAGAGCTGCTGCATGTATCATGTTCAGCAATACCAAGTGAGGAGGGATGGGGTGGAGAGGTAGAGCCTTGGGAGCCCAGTCCCTACTCCAGTATATCCAGAAGGCAGAATATGGACTCAAATAACATTATTCTCAAGTCTCAGAATTTAATGTTCCCATGCTGGATTTTGGACTTACTTGGGATCTGTTTCTCCTTTCCTCTTTCCTGTTACTTCCTTTATAGAATGGCAATGTCTATCTTATCGCTGTTCCACAATTGCATTTTGGAAGTACTAACTTGTTTGATCTCATAGATTCATAACCAAAGAGCATTTTTTTTCTTAGTATGAATCTTTGAGTTTTGCCCATATCTGATTTAAATGAGACTCTGGAATTTATTAGAGATTTTGGAGTTGGTGCTGGAATAAATTAAGGCTTTGAGAGCTATTAAGATGGAAAGTAGCTCCATCTTAGTACATGTGAGAAGAACACAAATTTAGGGAACCAGGGACAGAATGTTATGGTCTAAATATGTCCCCAAAAATTTATGTTTCAAGATTTAATGGCCAATGAGTTGATACTAAGAGAAGTCTTTAGGTGTTTAATGGGATTAGAGCCAATATGAAAAGGCTTGAGGGAATGGGTTCACTCTCTTACTCTTCCACCATGCGAAGTCATATTGTCCCCTCCAGAGGATACACAGAAGCAGAGAGCAGCTCCCATTAGACACCAAACCTTCCAGCACTTTGATGTAAGACTTTCTGGATCCCAAAATTGTGAAGAATAAATTCCATTGTTAATAAGTTACTGTATCTGGTGCTTTGTTATAGCAGCATAAACTAACTGACACATGTAAATTTACAAATATGGGATCTGCAAATAATGAGGACTGACTGTATCACTTTCCCTCAGAAACCGCATAAACACAAAATAACACCTTGAGGATAATACAAACATATCAGTATTGCCAGAATATGTAAGAAAAACATATCTTAATTCTAAAGATCTCAGGCCTATATATCAAATACAGTGATACCTTTAAGGGGAATGTCAACTTGGACAGTTGGTGTGAAAGATTACTGAATGGGGAAAATGTTGACTGCTTCATTACCTGGCAGGCATTGTGTAAAACAGTAGCCATTCTTGACATCCAGAAAGATGGCATAGTAATTGATTTCTCAGTTCTCTAAAACTAGCACCTAAAATCCAATCTCAAGCAGCTCAAAGGGTTTCTTGAAAGCACCTTTTTATAAATCCTCAAACCTTTAGCACATTAACCTTGAGAATATTAAAAGTCTTTCCAGGCCTAGCCATGGTGGTGTAATAGCAGCATAACTCTCTGCAAATCTAGAAGCCAAATGGAAAATCAGGGTCTAGTTCACAACTGACCTGAGCATGTTGTCAGATGTGTTTATGTGCATCTGTGATCCTGGATGGCTCAAAGCCTTGAGGGGAGAATTGCAATATGAGTCCCTATTGAAGGTAATTGTCTCTTCCTTTTCTTCTGTCTCTATCTATATCTCATAAAGGAAATAAATAAATAAACTTAAAAAAATGTCTTTCATGAGGGGTGGCATGTTAGTTAAGGTGTTAGACTGCCATATGGCAGACAATGGTTCAAGTCCCAGACCTGGCAACTTGAAAAGCATGGTGGGCATGTGTGCTTGCATACCCAAAATTCCAAGAGGAGACTGGAGGAAAAGGAATCGCTGTGTGGTCATCTCTAGGCGGCAGAGGGGAGGGTGGTGATTTCTATTTTCCTCTCACTGTCTCTCTCTGGCAAGTGCACACATTCTATGGCAAAAACAACAACAAAGAATCTTTACGAGAATAAAACTGTTA